CTGATGGAGATCAAGGACTGCAGCTTCAGTGTGGATTACAACTCCATGTAAAGAAGACCAATCCTCACAGCTGGACCAATAGGTAACATCATGATCAACGGAGGTTGAACTTGTCAAGGATTTTGTCTAGCTTGGATCTACAACCAATGCTCATGGAAGCAACGGTTAAGAGATCAAAGGGTAAGTCTGCTGCCCATGACCTCTTTGGAGTATTGAAGAGCACAGCTGTTACTTTGAGGACTAAGGTGCACCTGAACCAAGTCATGATATTTTCCATTGCCTCATTTGCATGTGAAAGTTGGACCCTGAATAAGGAAGATCGAAGGAGAATCAATGCATTTGAAGTTGAAGAAGGATATTGACAGTACATGAAAGTGCCAGAAGGTTAAGTGGGTCTCGGAAGAAGTACAGCCAGAGTGCTTCTCCGAGGCAAGGATGGGAGACTTCCTCTTACATACTTTAGACCTGTTGTTCGAAAAGACCGTCCCTGGAGAAGGATGGACACAGTGGCTGCAGCCATGGGCTAAGCCCATTGTGAGGCTGGCTCGGGACCCGGCAGTGTTTCATTCTGTTGTGTTCGGGTGGTTGTGGGGTAGAACTGACTTGATGGCACCCAACAACAATGAGATGACGATGTGGGTTGTTAGGTTAAGTAAACCTATGTATTCATGAATTCTACAACTATTCACCTGCCCTGGCCACAGCACTGAGAATGAGGTGGTGAACAAGCAGGACACAAAGCTGTTAGTCTCCTGGTTGGAGGTGGGGGAGGCTGCAATAGGCACACAACAGAATTAACTGCACAGCCACTGATTTAATTACATCTGTGCTTAATGTACAAAGCCAAGTCACAAATTCAATGAAAGGGAAATTGGCAGATGTGAAAGTCAAGCACATGAGTGGCTGGCTAGGAAGGACCTAGAAGACGCATAGTAGGTATAATTTTCTGGTGCCCATTCTAACTCTCAGCAACCCCTGTGCAAACAACGGAAGCCCGTTGTGACGTGTGAGCCTGTTGCTCAGCCTCTATGTCAATCCAGCTTGCTGAACGCCTGCCTCTTTTTCTCGAACCTACTTTACCAGGCCTGATGTCCTTTCCTCGCAATATGTCCAAAGGACATGAGAGCAAGTCTCACTGCTCGCTTCGAAGGGGCGTTCTGGCTGTACTTCTTCCACGATGGATTTTTGGATATTTTTGCATCCCATAGTAATTTCAATCTTCTTCATCAGCACCGTACTTCAAATGTACCAACTCTTGTCTGATCTTCCTTTTTGTCCATCTTTTACACGTATATGAAGCAACTGAAAATACCATGGCTCGATCAGGTGTACCTTGGTCCCAAAGTGGCATCTTCAACACTTTAAAGAGGTCTTGTGCAATAGATTTGCCCAAGACATCATTTCATTTCCTGACTGTTGTTTCTGTGAGGAAGCAGCAGTGAAGACCAACTTATACAGGAGACTGTGGTCAGGCCAGTGTGTCTGAAGAACAGAGGTGCAGGGCCGGGATACATACGTGAAGAGGCAGGAGGGTGAGGTAGGCAGAAGTCAGACCATACAGGGCCTCTAGGTCTGTTGGCTATTTCTCAGAACGGAACCCTGCCCAGTCCTGTGCCAGCCTCACAATGATTCTTATGTCTGAGACCATTGCTGTAGCTAATGTGTCCATCCATCTCCTTGAGAGCCTTCCCCTTTTCACTGTCCCTCTACTTTACCAGGCATGGTAGTCTTCTCCAGAGAACGTCTCTCCTGACAAGATGTCCAAAGTACATGAGATGAAGTCTCACCAGGCTGGCCTCTAAGGAGCATTCTAGGTGCACTTCTTCCAAGACTAACTTGTCTGTCCTTCTGGAAGTCCATAGTACTTTCTATATTCTTCGCCAGTACCATAATTTGAATGCAACAATTTTTCATCAGTCTTCCTTATTCAACGTCCAACTTTCACATACATAGGAGGCGATTGGAAATACCACAGCTTGGGTCAGCACACCTTAGTCCTGAAAGGAATGCCCTTGCTTTTCAACACTTTAAAGAGGTCTTACGCAGCATATTTATCCAATGCAATCCATCCCATGATCTCTTGTCTGCTTCCTTAGCTCCTTAGTAATCTCCCAATTCTCATTGCTAAGGTTTTTTGTTTGTTTGTTTGCTTGTTTTTTAATGAGGCCTTATCCCTGGACAGAAGCCAGCGCAAGCCTTGCCAGCACTCTCTTCCATGAGGTTCAGAGCTGGTCATCAGTAATTGACCATATCTGGTACTCTATGCTTTGAGAGCGAAGGTCGCTGCTAATACGGTCACATATTTCTCAACCTGTCCTCACCACTCTGCCCAGAAGGGCTCTCCTTGAAGTCCTCACTCTCTAGGGCAGAGGGGAGGGAGTGGGCGTGTGATACTCCTCTCCTGGCAACAGGGCACTCCCAGACTCTCTTCCCAAAGCTTTTCCTTTCCACGGTCTATAAACTGTGGTCCTGGTTTGAGGCTCCTAAGATTCATGGAGTCAACTGTTGCAAATTTCCTCAGAAAATTCTGTGCCCAGGAATTTGACTCCC